GATTCGAATGGTCGTCGATGCGAGTCTCGACGAACGAAAACGTGTGTACTATATCGTAAGTCAGGTTGAACGAAAACATCAGTTGATTGAGGTCGAGTGGAAGCAGGTTTAACTGAACGCATTGCGTTTGTAAGCCTGTTCGTGTAGGAGGTTAGATCCATGTTCATTGAAGAGACGAAGGATCCACGAATTCTCCTGGAAGTCGAAGTGTCGTTCCATAAACGAGTTGAGCCGCAGTGTATCCAATGTCAGCTTTCACTGCATTGCGGATACCTAGTAAGACGAGTGGAAGAGCGTCGGTCCACTGTGAAACGTTTGCAGCTGATAGCGAAGCTTTTAGTTGTCGGTGAAAACGTTCTACCAACCCGTTTGCTTGTGGGTGGTAGGCGGTCGTTCGGAAGCGAGTGATTCCTAAAAGTGTGGTCAGACGACGGAAAAGTTCAGATTCAAACTGACGTCCGCGGTCTGTAGTGATGGTTGAAGGGCAGCCGAAGTTTGCTACCCATCGTTCGACGAAGGTGCGGGCCACTGTTTCAGCAGTGATGTCCTTGATAGGTACTGCTTCTGGCCATCGAGTGAAACGGTCTACGCAGGTTAAGAGGTAAGAGTATCCATTTGAATCTGGTAAAGGTCCTACCAAATCCAGATGAACATGGTCGAAACGAGCATCGGGAGTTTTAAACGAGCCTAAGGGACATTTATTGTGTCTGATAACCTTAGATTTTTGGCAGCTTACACAGGAGCGTGCCCACTCCCTCACGTCTTTATTCATGCCAGGCCAGCAAAACCGTTCTGCTATAAGCTTGATGGTTGCACGAACACCTGGATGAGAAAGTTTGTGCAATGTATTGAAGACATTGCGTCGATAATGTTTCGGCACGATTGGGCGATCCCTACCTGTAGATGTGTCACAAAGTAAGGTTTCCTTACCTGTTCCCATCTGTTTGATGCGTAGTTTAAGTGTTGTGGACGATAACTCGTGCTGAAGATCAGTGTCTTTTTTAGAAGCGCGGGGTTTTAAAAGGTCGATTCCTTGGAAACTGTTCAAGGAAGTTTTGCGAGAAAAGCGTCTGCAACTACATTGTTTGCTCCAGAGATGTGTTGAATATCTGAAGTAAACTGCGAAATGTAGTCCAGTTGTCGAGACTCACGGGGAGAGTACTTGTCAGAAGGAGAGCTTAACGAGAAAGTGAGCGGTTTATGGTCCGTGAAAAGAGTGAATTCACGGCCTTCGATATAGTGTTGGAAATGCCGTACAGCACAATACATAGCTAGGAGTTCCCTACCGAATGTGCTGTACCTCGATTCGGTGTCTAGCAACCTTCTAGAGAAAAATGCCAAGGGTTGCCAGGAGTTGTTAACCCATTGTTGTAAGACTCCTCCGATTGCTGAGTCGGATGCGTCTACTGCGATGCTAATGGGTGCTCGGGTGTCCTGATGTGCGAGCATTGTTGCTTTAGCAATCAGTTCCTTAACTGTGGAGAATGCTTTTCGTGCGGTGTCGTCCAAATTAATGGATTTCGCATTTCCACGAAGTTGGTCGGTCAGAGGTTTCATAAGTAATGCGCATTTCGGTATGAAACGTCTATAGAAACTTACCAGGCCGTTAAACGTGCGTAATTGCTTGACGGTGGTCGGTTCTGGGTAATCCAGAATGGCCGCCACTTTGGTTCTAAGGGGTCGGATACCTTGAGCATCGATAGTGTGTCCCAGAAAGTCTAACGAGTCGGTTCCGAATTGGCATTTCTGAACGTTTACAGTTATGCCATGTTTTTGTAATCGTTCGAAAACAAGATCCAGATGCTTGAGATGTGTTTCTCTGTCCGGACTTGCGATTAGACAGTCGTCAACATACGCGTGTACGAAGTTGAGACCTCGAAAAACGTCGTCTATGAATCTTTGGAATGTTTGAGCAGCATTCCTTAGACCGAAAGGCATTCGCAAAAATTCATAGAGTCCGAAGGGAGTTATGATAGCTGTTTTCGGTATGTCGTCAGTAGCCATAGGGATTTGGTTATACGCTTTAACCAAGTCGATTTTCGAAAAGACAGTTGTACCTTTCAAGGTAGCTGTCAAATCGTGAATGTGAGGCAACGGGTAACGATCGGGAATGGTTTTCGCGTTCAATCGCCGATAGTCACCAGTTGGACGCCAATCGTTGCTGTCCTTTTTAGGGACCATGTGCAACGGAGATGCATATGGGCTACTTGACGGTCGTATGATTCCTAAGTCCATCATGTGATCGAATTCGTTTTTCGCTAACCTTAGCTTTTCAGGAGCTAGTCGTCGTGCTTTAGAGAATACAGGTGGTCCTGTAGTCGTGATGTGATGTGTAACATTGCTGGTTACACACGGTAGTTTCGGTTGAGTTTGTTGTATCCCAGGGTACTTATCGAGTAGTGGTTGATAGAGTGGGTCTATCATATGTTTAACTGTGACTGGGGATACTCTACAACCAGTAAAAGAAGTTACGCAAACGGACAAATTAGTGTTTCCGTCTACTAGCCTCCGTTTGCGAGTGTCGATGATCAGATTGTGGTGTTGTAGAAGGTCCATACCAATGATTGGCATAGAAACATCTGCAACGACGAAAATCCAGTGGATGGGTTTGCGTAAACCCACGTTAAGGTAAACGTACCTTTTGCCATACGTAGCGATCGGTTTTCCGTTTGCCGCCTGTAAGTTTAGGGTCGATTCGTGAAGTCGGTCGTTAGGATTTGCTGGGAGAACGCTAACTTCTGCGCCAGTGTCGACGAGGTAGCGAACTCTCGTTGTCACATCTGTGACGAATAACAGACGGCTTGTTCGCCGGCTACGGTTGCCGTTAACGCGTGCCGGCTTGGAAGTTTCCCGAATTGTTTTTCGAATCAGTCGGTTTCGTGTTGGGAAAATTGCAGGGTTTTCTGCAATTTCTGGAAAACTTTCCATACTGGTTATGATACCAGCACCAGTCGGGGTTATCTGTCTCTCGTGGTCTAGAGACAGATCGCTTACGAGAAATGCTTCTACGTGGTGTGCGCGATCTCTTACGGTCGGTACGAAGACTAAGATAACGCGTGAGTGTGTGACATAAGTCGGTTATGTCATTCTGAGTCGTGTGAGGCTTTTCTTTGACTGAAAATACCTCGGTAGTAGAAGGTTTCGTAATTTCTAGAATGCGGTCGGCAGATGCAGCTAGCTCGTCTAAGGCGTTGTTCTGGAACGAGACCAGAACTGCTTGCACCTGTTGGGGAAGTTTTGACAAGAAGAGTTGTTTGAATAGACCTTCGTCGAAAGTTCTTGGGCCTATAACCTCTCTCATCCGTTGCAACATGTCTGTCGCAGAACCGTGTTGCAGGTCGATGTTATTGAAGAGTTGATCTAACCTTTGTCGATCGGTTAGGTCTCCTCGTTTAAGAATCGAGCGTTTTAAGATTTCGTAAGGATCGGAAACATCACTAGTAAACATACTAGGTGTTACGTACCTGTTGAATTCGCGCGGTAGTGCCTTGACTACTGCGAGGAATTGTGCACGTGTGTCGATCACGCCGTGCTCGGGAAGTCGGCTTCTGCGTAGCAAAACCAGGCTTCGATGTTGTCGGGCCAGAAAGGCATCAGTTGAAACGAAGGTGGGGACAAGGTCTTAAGCTTGAGTACTTTAGGTGTCTGTTCAGTCATGATGAAATATGAAGTACGATAATGAACGAGGGGAAAATATATATATATCCAAGAAAAACACGAAAAAAAATCACAATGTTTAAAAAAAATAAAAAATAAGGCAATGATATATAAAAATCCCAAAAAGGAACAGACTCACAGTTGCAATAAGGTGTACCAGATCACGACGGTCTCACCAATGATGATGTCACAGGTATTCAGTGTTTGACAACGCTTCTACCAGTAACACCTTCTAATATGTTTCGTTCCCACCAAGAGAAATCAAAAGACAGAGTCGAGGAGATCGGAAGAGTATATTTGGCGATGACCAATATACCGGGATTCTCTGATCTAATCTGGCTAGCGATTGTGGTTGATGTTGAGCACGGCGTTACTACACGTGATCTGGTGCGGATGCCTGACCGAGCGCCTTCAGCTAGATGAGTCCACTAAAACATATGGTCAGCATCCAATGTCGAAAACTTAGTGCTATTTATTTTGGGGATTTATTTACCGCTACAAGAGCTTATGACTGTGAAGATGCTACAAGCATTCAGTGTTTGACAACTCTTTAACCAGTAACACCTAGTATAACTCGTACACACCAAAAGAAATCAAAAGACAGAATCGAGGAGACTGGAAGATATATTTGATGACTATCAATATATCGAGAATCGGCTGATCTAATCTGGCTAGCGATTGCAGTAGATGTTGAACACGGCGTTCCCACTCGTGATCTGGTGCGGATGCATGACCGAGCGCCTTCAGCTAAGTGAGTCCATTAAAACATGTGGTCAGCATCCAATGTCGAAAACTTATAGAGCTATTTATTTTAGGGACTTATTTACCGCTACAACTGTACGATGTACGAAGTTAAACTACTACGAAGTAGTAGGGGTGGAAAGTAATGTTATATAATTATGTATTTAATGTGCATAATTATACATTTTATACACTTATTAACCAGACAGGAAACACTGATGGCTATTTCTACCCTTTGCAGTTGCCGCAACTATGTCGGTAGAGTCAAGGTTATCAGGAAAGTAAAACCGTAGCCACGAAATTTCTAGCTTTGAGAGAATATAAGCTTTGAAAAGAACTAGTTTTTGCTATCTGCTATTTCTAAATTAAAACGATGATTGAATGCTTAATGGAAAGGTTGTTAGGAAAACCTAGAAACAACCGAGCTGACTATTTAGGTGAGTAAGAGTGACTTACACATATTCGGCTGAGATAATTTCACTTTTTTCTGATTTTGCATCTTCAATTATGACTATCGACTAAAAGCAAAAGGTTAAACAACAGTAGTGAATCGTTATAAAGTTATTCGTTTCCGCAAGTTACTAATACAGTCTTCTCTTTAAGAGTAAACGAACGTTAGAATTTGGTTCTTGAGCTAGTCAGAATAAAGTTCGAGGGTCTTTTTCCCGATTACTGATATTATTTTTTCTCACAGAAGTTCGTTTGACTGCATCAGATAAACGAAGTTTTGGAAGAACTTCTTCAAATTAAATAATTTGCCCGTTCGTCCTTCGATTCTGACTTGTCGTGGGTTATATTGTACAGCTGTCGAAAGGTGATCCCCATTTTCTTCGAAAATTTATTCTGCTTTCCGAGATTTTTTGCATGGATATTCATCCCTTGACTAGCGAATATACGTAAATAAGTCGGAATAATTTGAATACTCTGTTATATAACGGAGATGAGAAGTGACGTCCAGTCAGTTCTTAGGCGTTATTTCTACTTCTTCCGCTTTATTTCAACATTCACTGACGTTTCATTAGGATCCCATCGTGGCTACTTACGGAAAGTGTCATTTTTGGAGCTCGATGGTCTGTTTTTTTTTCGCCCCGGATTCAATTTACTTACAAGCATATGGTTTGTTCACGAGCTTAGATGACTGCTAAGCATACTTGTATTTTGCCTGGGTCACTGTTCAAAACCAAGTGGTGCCATACTTTTTATCCAAGCGACTGTCAGCTGGTAGTTCCTCGACTAAAAAAACCCATATTATTATTATTATCTTATTCTGATGCTTAGGTACTGAAATTATATAACTTCATGTGTATCATTTTGGTTGCAAGTGGATTCATTCAGTATTCGATCCATAATGATAGGAGGCATTGAATATTTCTGGCGTGAACGTCTGGATTTTAACAAGCTCTACGCAGTTCCTGATAATTTTGAGGATCTGTCTGTTGCTGAAATGTCTAGCTAGCATTAAATCAAGTGTGAGTACCACCTGAGTAATATCCACGTGGAGTTTGAACGTGTTAATTATCAGTAACTCTTACGGCTCGGTTCAACAGCTAGAAATAATAAATTGATAAGAAGGCAAAATAAATCCAATGGTCATAGAATGCTTAAGACTAGATGGGAGGTAAAATAGGAGACGGGTTTTCACCGTTGTGGTCGACTCTGAGCTCTCACACAAGGGTTCCAACTGTTGATCCCTAACCCTGGAAGCCGCGCTGGTCTGTTTAACAATGGTCCTTGACTTTCCTATCGTATATAGTACGCGGTACCAGGTTCGGGTACTAGGTAAGGATGGCAAATCAATTGATGAAGTATTGAAACTTCAGTTGAGATGGATGGGACACGTGCTACGTATGCCGAACCACGACCGACGTGCGGTGTTTTATGGTGTAGGAGTAAATTGGAAGAAAACTACAGGTGACCAGACCAAAACATGGCATAAATCCATGAAGTCACTGACAACTGGACTGAGCCATGTTGGTAGGTGTAGACTACCTGGTTGGGATTCGCGAAACGATAGCGACTGATCGTTAGAGACCTTGGATGACATGGCTCGAAATCGTTTGCAATGGTGGGTCCACTCTTTGTGTTCTCGCAAATTCTAATCTACTGAATTCTTCATGTCCCTTTATTTTTTTCTCTTTCGAATTCATTTCACTGGTTATACTCCTTGAATAACATCTTCAAACCTTAATCTTTCCGATTACTGCTTATACTTTTACTATCTCTACCACTACGTGATTTGGATCGACAACTGCATCTCTGTGCTAATGTGGTATGGCAACTCGAAGTGATGTACGAACGTACGAAATCCTACGTTGTTACTGACTGGCACCATTGTCCGAATTCAGTGGCTACTTTTACTTAGTCTCCCAATCACTTCATGCCAATATAACCTAAAATTTCTGCCAAAAACTGTACATGCGGCCGCGATGGTGACAGTATGTTTACTAATTGTATCAGTTATAAACTAACTCATACGTCCTAATAAATACAATATAAATGTTCTAAAATCCATCTCCTAGTCTGAATTTCTACTTGGAGGAATAAAAAGCTACTATGTAGTCAAGTTTAAAAACAGTACGTTGATAAGTTAAATTCAGTTGCAGGTAAACAACAGCAAGTTATTCTCAAAAAGTCTGTCTAATCACTTTTTCTCATTCTTTATATAAAGCTGAAATGGCGTTTGTCAGGACTCACTCGGGACTTTTTAATAACTCACAATCTTCATATGTAAAACATATGAAACAGGAATCCAGTAATTGGTTCATGACATACTCGGTAATATGAAAATATCATGCAGATAACTAAACATTTTTGCCATCAGTTTATCAGAGTCGCTTTGTCGTGGGAGATGTGCAAATAAATCATGTCAGCTTCTATACAGTGATGATGATAAAATTGTTATCTCAAAGAAAATTGCCTCACAAAGTCTGTGCGTTTTACATCTAGTACGAGTAATGACGATTGACCATGTTTCAACAAAATACATAGACGAAGTTTATTGTAAATGTATCATATTGTGCCAAGTATCGGAGATGAACTTAGGTCGGGCAATAACTTATCTCACTAGCTAGTATACAATAAGTGGTTCAATACAACAATTGTCCATAACGGCCGTAATAATAAGTAATAGTAGGGGTGATAAGCAGTTTGACTTTTAAACTCTATGGGGTCACAAGGGAAAGTCCCGTGTATTGCTTCCATCTCTCCCAAAAATTGTTTTCCAAGACTTAGCACATTACCTTAGTTACTGAATCATGTTAGTCTAATCTGAGGAGTTTAGACATTGTTGTCATCAAAGTTTCTGATTTTGTATAATATTTTGGAAACATTTTTGTCAGTAATTTTATTTATATGACACGAAACTCATATTCGGTGTTTTGTTGATTTTTTTAGTCAATAGGAAACCTCCATACGCCATTCTGGGTTGTCATCTACAGTTATATACTGCAATGGAATATTTGGAGAATGCACCATTAGAAACTGGATGTCCTACCTTCGAGGTAACTCTCTTTTCTAAATATATTGCCGCAGCGGTCAGTCATAAAGAAACTTGATGCTCGGGTTATAGATTCTGTGATGAAATGGCCTCAACCAAGCGTTCTCGGTAAACTTTGGCACTCCTGGTCTCGAAATAAAGGTTTGTGTTTTTGTTGGTGTGTTTACTCAAAGTAAATAAATAAAGGTACCGCAAACCATTCATCAACGCTTACATTCTACCTGTTAAATTGTGTGAAGTAGGTGAACAAGAAACGATCATGGTGAATTTTGTTTCAAATTAACAGAAATGAATCTAACTTACATATATTTATTTATAGTGTCTACTGCTTAGATATAAGTCACTGGAGATTAAAAATTTTTAATCTTTTTTTAAGGGTATGGGTAAGTGTCATTTGCGTTGAGTTATTCAGTTTTTTTCGCTCCGCTACCACTAGGCCGAGAGATAATGCACTCAGTGTTCGGGATCTGATTTTGATAACATCAGCTCAGCTCTGGAATTTAAGATAAATAACTCTAAGTAATAGTTCATCAAAATCTAGTTAGCTTCCTGTTTTGTGTACATATATGGTACTGTTCGAAAAGCATGTAAATGTCTGGTACTAGTTAGTTATATTAAATGTGCTAGATAATTTTTCCGCGTGGTAACCGCGACCAGTGACTGGAGATTTTTGGCGACGTGGCTGAGAATCTGTCACGATGACGCAATTTATTTAACTCTATCTTCTGAATATTGAGTTCCAGTATTCCTTCGTACATACTTTTCCACTGTCATTTTAAGGCGTATTCTCAGTCTCTAGTGTTTCTTATTAACACTGCTACTTTATTATTTCTATCTACTAATAATCTTGTTGATTTCTTGTCGTGCTAATATGCTATAGCATCTTTGATTAACTCGCATTTGCCCATGTCTCTACATGGTTAATAACTGGCTTAGACGTGATTTCAGACTAGGGTTATAACTTGAAAACAGGACGGGGAATGAGTATGTTTTAAATCTCGGTTGTATTTCCACTTTTGACAGGTTGGCAAAGAAAAGAGGTTGACAGTTACTTCGTCATACTATCACTAATTGCCAACGTGATGTGGTAGTTTGATTGTTATTTTGCCGTCAGTGAGGTTAAAGTTTCGTGCTGTACTTATAACTTGCTTAACATGAAACGAAAATAGTGAATTATTGTATAATTCCCTTTATATTTTTGAAAATTCAGTCAATAGTTTTAAATTGGCTAATAATTGCAGGACGCATTAAACTTCGTTAAAGTATTAAAGTTCTTGCACTAGCTAGTAATTAAGGCTAATATGCATAAACCTACAGGAATCTTTTTGTTAAATCACTTTTTTTTTCATTTCAATTTATCGTTGAGCAAACCTGATGTTTTTAATACCTACAGCACATAACTGGACTGTAGAGCAAACTGTACATTGGCTTACTAGTTACGCCAAACTTCCGGAATGTGAATATTTGCTTCAGAAAGGAAATATTTCAGGAAGTATTTTTCCTCGGTAACTTAGTACTCAATGTTTTTATAATTGTGTTTACTGTATGTAAATTATCTAAAAGGGTATACATGTAGTAATAACATTTTGCGACAGCTCGTTGTCAGTAATTTCTATTAATGTCGTAAGATTATTTGAGGCTTGTCCTTTCATTTTTTTTTCAGCGGTGAAAATCTTCGAAGGTCATTCTAATTTAAGTCTTATTAAGTATCCTACTCAAGATTGCTGTTCCACTTTTTAGTGTTTCCCTTTATTTGAATATTTCGATCTGATAATTAAACGTCAAACTCTACCCTTGTCATAGTTCATGTCTTTTTCTAAGTACACGTCTCAATGTAACAGTAAAACTGAAGATTTTTATGGTGTTAAGTAAACTGCTTCCTGCGCATGACACTGATACCAGCCATGGTTTGTAGATCGAATTTAAAATCCCTAACCCAGCGATTACAGATTAAGTTCTTAAGCTGCTGAGCACACTGCTTCCTTATTAACGTATGTCGAGATTTCTTAAAGTTCAGGAATCTAAGAGAACATTTATATAGGAATCCAACGCAGGTAGATCTGTTTTATTATTTTCTCCTTTGTAAGTAAGTTAGGTTATATAGTTAGCGTGAAAACTGTCAAAATATTGATTTCATTTCATGGATTTAATATCACCCTCCTTAACGAGTAGGATGTAGTTAAATATCTAGATGACAAATTTAGGTGCAACTCGATTTCGCACAAATTAGAAACAGAGAGAAAAATATTTTTACTAGGTGCCAGAATAAATTGACAAAAACATGAGTTTGGAATCCGTTGTAATGGTCCTAAGTCATCTATTATTTGTGCATTTAGGGGTTTAGTCGTCGATTCCTGTTGATTTGCAAGCATGTGTTTGGTCTCTAGTACAAAGCAGGTAAGTTGTCTAGTCAATGCTAAGCTTAATAGTTTTCTTAGTCGCCGAAAAACTGAGAAGTGTAATGAAGACGTTGAACTGATAATATTTCTGTCTTAGGAGTATCTTTGAAGTTTAGATTCAAAACCAATAATTATTATTGTCTCTTGTAATTTTACTCAATTATTTGCTTGTGACAACTTGGAATGTACAAAAGAATGTTGTTGATGCCCACATCCAACAAATAAACGACATTGGTCACATCAATTATAGTGATGCTTACAGGGTATTGTTATGCGAAACCCACTCCTAACACAGTCATATGGAATATTAGTACTGTTTGTAAAGCTCATTTACTCCCATTTACATCCATATTGTAAGTAGAGACCAATCCTGACCGTAACTATTACCCTGACATGATGGTAGGGCTTCTCCATCGTAGTAATCCGATCGAGCCACATAGGCTGGAATAGTTGTTACTTTAGAACCTACTATTCTAGGTTGGTCGGTTAAGGAACAGTAAAGCCAAAGTCATCAAACTCGTGATCCGAAGGTGGAGTCGTACTGTGTGATAGCAGTAAGGTGTTCTCAGACAATCAGAATCTGCAACAATGCTGCCTTTTCTTAACTAAAAGAAGAGGTTAGGAAAAGTTGACCCCTAAATTTTCACATCTCATCTTGCTACAAAGATTTCTGTTTCTGAAGGTAAAGCTTTTTGAAGTGCAGAGCCAACACATCAAAAAATTCCCACAAGTCCCTTTACTACTGGCCTCAAATAGTCATCCCTTTGGCTCTGCGGTGACGTTCCCAGGTAAATACGACCATTACTAATCCGGGACTTTTTTCAGTTCCCTTAGTAAAAAGATCTTTTCGTCACGTGGGCAACCGAAAAGTAACAACCGCCTTTATGCATCTACCATCACTAAACCAAATTTTTTTTCCACTTGTTAATATTTCCTTCTATCAATCCTTCGCCCGCAACTTTATCCCCATATATCGCCACTCTTCGAGTCCATGAGATTTTATTGCTGGCTTCTTGAAGCTGCACTCCAAACTACATGTTGAAGCTTTTAATGTTGGACGTTATGTCGAATAGGCCAACGGGATTCCTTAACTAGGACTCTAGAATCCCGTACCTGCGATGTATTCTGTGTCCCTTAAACACACACACACAGTATCCAAATGTAGTCAGTCACTTGATTTTATATAGTTAATAGAGAGAAGCAGTGCGATTTATTTGCTGTATACCTCGAGACTCAATTGCTACATCTTGCGGCCTCGCTGATGCAGACATAGCGTTAATTTCAGTCGCGAAAAAGCTCTACCAGACGGGATTCCAATAGAAAATCGCTTTTGTACCGTCCGACTATGCAGGAAAGCAAGAACACAGAAAGATATGTCGTTGTTTCTCCCAACACTGTCAACGACTGCAGTTCGGATTGAGTAAAAGATAAGTTTTATAGAACGCTTCTTGCTCTCTTACAAAAAAGCCAAAAGCCCAAATGTGATTGTCACTATCAACCTTAACGTCTAAGTAGGTAGTTTAAACCAAGATGAAAGACATGTGGATGGGTCTCCTAGTGTCCCGGATCAATTAACAGACAGCGGGGACAGTCTTTTACAACTATGCTCAGACTGTTGTTTGTTCTTAGCAAGCACCAATTGTAATCATGAAGACATTGTCTGATACGGCGAGTCCAATAATCCACTCAATGATTGACGTAAATAGATGATAAGTCTTATCGATTGAACGCTATATTAGTTTCCTAAGCTATTCTGGTAACCCGCAAGCTAGAACTACACAGCGCCTTGAACACCAGAGAGAAGACGCAAGTATGAAGGAAAATACTTTACTCCAAGGTTCATTTTATTACAGAAAATATAGGGTTTTTATGTTTTAAATGTCCTTGGGTCGCTGGAATATTCTGGAATGCTACTAAACATAGTAACACTGTAGTAGCCAACCAATCAGAGCTTCCGCATGTGACGTTTCGTTACCTTGATATTTCTGGCCAAGACTCCAAGTGAACACTGATTGAACGAAACACTTAGTGTTTCTTGATGCTTGCTTGTCTTTTGCAAGCAATTTCTGGATCACCCCAACAATAGACCATATCTCCGTGATTCATCGTTGAATAAGTTCGATAGAAGACTCCTCATTTTGGAGCACACGTTCTATTACTACGTATTTGTCAGGATCTACTGGTCATAGAAAGCCACAGCAAAAAAACGTCGAGTCCAACCCAGTAATGAAGAAACCAAGAATATATTTCAGGAACGTTTAGAGGAGCAGTCAGTCAATCTTCATAGTTATTTTCACCTCAATGTGAGTCGGTATGATATCCAGTCAAACATCTGCGAAAACAGCACTGATATTTACAGGTGACTATAATCAAAGGTAAAAAAGTCAGTGGATTTCAGCAGTGTCTACTGAACTGATATACCCTCGGAAACTCATCTCGTCAGACTCCGAACATTGTGAGAAGCAATGGCAACTCAAACGTAGACTGTCAAAAAGGTTACGTAATGATCTTTAGAAGTAGTGGGGAGCTGAGGTAAAGGCGATTAAAAAGACAGCAGCGTTAGGCGACAATAGAGAGTTCCTCAAACATATCAAAGAAACGTATTAAAAATCCGGTATTTATTGATACTGTTTTTAAGAAAGATCGTTCAGTGGTGCGCTTTTAAGCAAGAAGACTGTTATGATGGAATACTTTGTAGAGCCGTGTCTTCGAACTGTCATCTGCTTTTGCAACCTCAAGTGGTGTCCGTCAAGGCTGTCCACTTTCACCATTTTTGTTTGACTTCATCATAGACCTGCTACTGGAAATAACGTTCTCGTCGACTGAATTTTCGGGGACTGATCTCCTACCAAGAGGTCCACTTATCGACTTAGAATACGCAGATGATATAGTCCTGTTTAATGAAGATGCTGATAAAATGCAGAGCCTTTTGGTAGCACTGAGCAACAATGCCAGGATATTTGGGATGCATTTTCCCCTTCTAAATGCAAGTTGTTGCTTTAGGACTGGTCTGCGTCAACACCTAAACTAAGGATAGCGAGTGAAGCAGTCGAGCGCGTTGACAATTTCACTTATCGTGAAAGTCCGATCAGCCCTAATGGGTTGGTGTCTGACGAAATCTCAGCACGGATACGAAAATCTCGTTTGGCTTTTGTCAACTTACGTCACCTTTGGCGAAGGCGAGACATCCGTCTAACAAAAAAGGACGAGTATACTGCACGGCAGTCCGTTCTGTTTTACTTTACGGCTGCGAAACATGGCCACTAAGAGTGGGAGGTACTCGTAAGCTACTAGTTTTTGACAACAGATGCCTTAGAAATATTGCTGGCGTCTACTGGGATCACCGGGTAAGTAATAGTGAGGTTAGACGTAGCGTATTGGGTAATGATGTTAAGTCAGTTGATGAAGTCGTAAATCTTCATCGACTGAGATTGTTGGGCCATGTGTTGCGTATACCTGAACACCGATTACCACGATGCGCATAGCTGACTAGTGTTGGGGATGTTGGAGGAAAGTCAGGGGCGGCCAAACCAAACATGGCATCAGTGCTTGAAGTCACTAACTTCTAGTCTTAGCCATGTTGGTAGATTCAGACTACTTTGTTGGGGTCTGCGTGACTGTCGTAATCAATGGTTGGAGACTCTGAGTGACATGGCTCAAAGTCGATCACAATGGCGTCGGTGTATACACTCTCTGTCTTCCTTTAAACTATGAGATTAAAATCGCTTCATATCTTTCTTTCTACGAACTAATTTTTCCTTCCCGTACTATGTCATTATATGCAATCTTTCTTTTATATATTACCACCACTGAATTAACTACTTATATGAATCCGGTGTTCATATTGTGTTAATGAGGTATGGCAACTTAGACCGATGCGCATATGTGCCCGGTCCTACATTATAGCTGACTGACTGAGGTGTCTCCGAAGCATTGCTCGTATGTTTTGGGACCATTAAGTTAGAATTCCTGAAGTTAGGCGCCAACGATTCGGTAAGAATAGCAAATCAGTTGACAGTGTAGTGAATCCTTGTTGATTGATATTATTGAAATACGTATTGGATATGCTCATCCACCGCCTTACTCGATACTTGATGGTTGGTGCAGGAGTATATTGGGAAGAGAGCTAATACCGGCTAAACTAAGATATGTCATCAGCCTATAAAGAGACTGACTGTTAAACTGAGTCATTTAAGTATGTACAGACTGCCTGATAGGATTCTTCATGATTGTCGTAGCCAACGGTTGGAAACTTAGGGTGAGGTTCGCTCCTTTTTCTTCCCTTAGAACATAGGTTTCTAAATTCCTTATGAGATTATCTCACTAATTTATATTTTGTTGTATCGTATATTTGATTTTCAATCTTTTTAATGTCACTAATACTGTTACTACCTCTACTATTCTGGAATTCTCCGTAACAGTTTCACTTCACCGTTCTAATGAGATGTGAAACTTAAACTGAATTCCACATATGCCAGGTTGTACGTTATGTATGCCTGATTGACTGGAAGGCCGATACAATGTGACTACCAGAAATTTAACCGTTGATAATGTTCTAGAGTTCAAAGGGCGCTATAATTCTTATAACTCAAGTTTAAACGAAATAAAATATCCGGTTTTATGTTTCAGCAGTACCAACTATGAGTTGTGTTATAAATTCTGATTTTCTGGGAAACTCTTATTGACTATTTTATATATTGCTACTAAAACTCAAAATTCTTAAAGGAGGATATAAGTCAATTAATTAATTTCGCTTGGTTTTAGGAATAAATTTTCCTTTTTTCGATTTCTTGAGAGTTGATCAATCGTGTATCTGTATTCTACTAATTTGCTTTTAGTGTTTTTAGACCATATACTCTTACAAATGGTTTTTATTAATCAACTTACATATGATTTTGTGAGATATTGAAAAATACATAAGCCTTTAAATGGTGTGAATATTTGTGATGCACCTTTAATATAAGAATGTACTCTTAAATCATGTTCCTACTAAGTTTTAAACATATCAAGTTATGAGATAATTTAACTATTAATACTTTTATTGTATCTGCCTCCAGTAATTTTATTGGGACTTCAATATCAAGATCCGTCTAACTGTTATTAAATCTTAATTTTACCTCATACATGTTGGTTGTTTGGGTCTTCTCATTGATGTACAAGTCTGCAATTGATCAGTTTCTTGATATATGTGCATCTTGTTCAGATCGCCTTGACGTTACCATTAAGTCACAAGCAGTTTAAGCAGAGATGAGTAGTGGCAATATTGAAGTCATCTGGACAGGATGCACATATGCTAAAATGACTGACCGATTGCAGTCCTAAACATCAATGGAAAAATCGAAACAACCAATATATATGAATTAAAACTAAAATCCATCCCACTCTACAAATCAGTGGCTATCATAACTCAGTAGCTAAGTTTATAACGCGGTGGCGTTTGAAGCGTAGGGTATTGAGTTGGAGTCCCGGAGTGAACACCAACTCTGGAATCCACTGCTAGCTGCCACTCATCTTTGCTAAAATGTTATCAAATCATTTTCTAAAATTAAAATACTCATTCCAATTATTGTATTTGTAAGTTGTTAAGATTTTTAGTTTTAAAACTAGTTGGTTTGTAGAGAATGGCATTTATTTTAATGCTTACTATTTTTGAGTTGATCTAGTCACGATAATGGTAAAAAATTTGTCAACTCGCTTAATTTCATTAGGATTTTCAAACCAAACGTTTTGGAAGCCCATAACATCAACAATGTAAATTCATTGCATTCTGGATTAGCTAATCATGTATCAAATATTAATCTTTTCGGTCCTCCTGAAAGGAGTAAGTCATTTAAATATACAATAACCCACTGTATTTTTTGGCTAGTTTACTTGGATAAACATACGACAACCTTTCATTCTTCAGTGATTGTTGCAAACATCATATAACGTGGTGCAAGTTATCACAGTTTGCATCATAGTAACATTGAAAGTAGTATCAGTGCCAGTGGTAACTCAACCATAGATTACAACTATCTTATAAATCCTAACCAAAAAGTTTGCTTCTTATCAAACAATTCAGTCCACTAACCTGTGTCTCTCTAAATTAATGAAGTAATTATGTCCGAATTTTACGCCTTTTTTCAATCTACTTTATACTTGTGTTATGGCCCAAAGCCGCCAATCAGAAGCCACGAATTATCGATCTGACCAAGGCGCGTAAAACACGTGCGAGCAGCCTAAAGTCCTGATTGGTCCTGCTTTCCGCCTAACCCAGCCAGTTGAGTCCAGAACACCAGTCTCAACCTCTGCAATATGAATCTTTATATTTCAAACATACTGAGTTCATATACCAATCAAACAGACCACAACGTAGCATAAAATAGAAAATAACATTTGTACAAAATTTGGCCAAATGTGGCTGTGAATGTGGGAGGCAGTGACTAATAGACAGGGCATAATTCAAGAATGGCAAAACGTATAATAATGATTCATAGGTCAAAATAAAGTTTATAATAAGAGGAATGTGAATAGTTTAGTTATTTAACAATTATACGATAAAATATACGTTTAGTATTGGTCCATAAAGGATCCCAAAGTTACCATTCATTATGTTTATCGGGACCTAACAACTTGATAGCGAAACACTCCAGTGCATGCAGTGATTGTGCGTGTACAACACATGTCTCAACCACTTAAACCAAAAAAGTTTTACTAACTTATGCTAGTTATATCTTGATGCTCCAGCGTGCCAAACATTTCTATGTTATAAATATAACAAAGACATGAATTTTTTAAATCTAGGTTTTGTGTTTTACTGGTTCATATATGCTGGTTAGTCGATGGTTGATTCAGTGAAATGCATTAGTTAGAGATTTTCTAGTTCAAAGTCTGTTTTTAAGTACTCTCATATTTAAGAGTGCTCCATTAAAAGTTCTTGATATATATCACAACTGATTCTGCTTGTATTATTAGGAATATTTAGTGTTTTTTACTAGTGAATAATTCAAAGTTTTTTGTAAATGCTCACCATAATGAAAATGCTTAGACTATCCACCTACATATATGTAGTCAGTAGATAGATAAACAGTAATGTTTATTTAAAAGATGAAGAGGCGGACGGGGAGTTGTTCATAACCTTTACAATGGCGATAAACTTATGGTTCACATTCTTCAACAGGCAATCTCAGGGTGATACAACACAACTTGACAGATCACAAATAATCTCGCCAGTTCCCTGGTAGAAACTTCATTCTCATTATTGAAAAGAGCCCACTGTGGTTTTTGCAATATGTGACGCTTTAAAATTTGGAATTTCTACAGGATCTCTCTAAAATCGAATAAGGCTCTCTTAAAAGATGTTATAAGCACGCGGTCGTATTAGGCTATTTTAAAGGGATAATTAAACTTTCCATACTATCGGCTGTAGCAGGGCATCTGTTGACAGTTCTTTTGATACAGTAGGTGCATAAGGAAAAGCAAAACTCAATCTTTGTCTATATTTTACTTATTTCAGGCCCTAGTATTTATCTGATTGTAGGCGTTTTAATACTGTTTGGGTTATGGTTTACATCCATGCTGACCATTTGCTTTGTTCGTATTCTTTTAAAACCTGGAAAATCAACTCTTAAACATGATGGTTTATCAAAGAGTCGAAAGATTCTACAAGCACTTGAGAAAAAGTTAGTTTTGTATTGGTATACGTAACAGAGTTTCCTTACACACATCTATTCTATGATTATTAGTTTTCGATTCATTCTATTTGCTTTTTGATATCCTTGTTATTATTTATTTATTTGAACACATAAATATTGGCACAGAGGGGCACCAAATACAACAGCAATGAGAATGTGAAGAGATAAAAAATTCAAGTTGCGTATAAGAAAAAGGGGAACAATAACGAACAGAAATAGGTGTATGACAGTAAAATAATGATGGAGAATCAATTCAGTTAGCAAAGGTACAACCAGAAAGAATTCTTCCAGTTAAAGAAGTTACGTCCATTTTTTATGGACCGTATCTGATAACGTCTCTAGCCAGTGTTACACCATCTCTAGGACCCCCCAGCCAGGTGGTCGTGAAGGACCAACAGAAGCCAGTCCTGAACAGTTTTCTTTCACACCACGACCCCATGTTATATACTAACCACCTATCCGCCTTTCCGAACCAGTCCCAGCCTTGACAAATAATACAAGATATGGAATACTTTGGGACGACATTTGTAGAACATGTCCAAGTCACCGAAGTCTGTGTTTCAAGAGAGTGACTAATTGAATTATCGTCGCTGTGCTCGAACACACCATTCTGAACCCCTGCATTACTAACATGGTGTCGCCACTGGCTGTCAGCAATCCTTCGGAGATAACGATGATCCAACACAGTGAGTCGTCTAACATCCTCAACTCTGAGAGGCTAGGTTTCACAAGCATAGAGCAAGACTGCTCCCACCGACGCGTTGTAGATCCAACCTTTTACAACCAGACTGAAATCATGAAGGCGCCAAAGATGGCCCAGATTGACATAAACCGCTCTGGCTTTCACTATACGTGCATTGATCTCATCACTCACGCCACCACCAGCTTTTATGCAGCTACCTAGATACACGAACTTCTTGACTATTTCTATATGCTCACTACCCAGGGTGAGTACAGGATCAGGGTCCTACCAGTCTTGTAGAAGTACTTTGCACTTCGAAGATGCAAAGCACATACGATATCTACGGACACTGATTGGCAAGTGATTAAGTGCGGATTGCATGGCTTGGGCATTATCGCACAGTAAGACAATATCATCCGCATACTCAAGGTCGAGAAGTCTTTATCCAGGTAACAGATCCACACCAGTAATTATTTTCATTTCATTTTATTTGTGTGTGGTCTGTGATACTGCCCGGGTGCCCAGACCGAAGCAGGTGGTTTTCTAGGGGGGGGGCACACCCGAATCCTTTGACCTAATGGTCTAATCCACAAGGCAGTAGAGCAACGTAGAGAGGTGCACTCCCATGGTAGTTGGTGACCAACAATTGGTTCATGCTCCATTTGTTCCTTCAGGATACTGGAACCCATGTGCATTATTGGTTGAGAATCAGGGTTTCCCAACTCCCCTAGGTAAACTCTCTGTGTCTACCAACCCGGGTAAAGCTCCGAATATTCGCTTTTGGTCCTCTCAGTTTTGTAAACAACAGTAATTTCGCGAGAAGGCAGTGAGTAGGACTTCCCTGGCAGTGATTGTATGCATGTGGCCATGTGAGAGCATTTCGAGAGGGAGAGTGGACTCTACTCACCCTTGGCCGTACCAGGGCATTTGGGGGCATATCTTTGGTAGCGTCCAATAAAGTTTCGTGACCTTTTAATTATTATGAAGGGTTCTGAGTTTGTTATGAAAAAGTTTAGGTTGCTAAAATAGTGAATAGGATGTCTATCAATAGATGACACGACCGATAGCTAATTATGAGATTGATGTGTTTTGATACTACTCTCTAAATTGTAGGTCAGTATAACTGGCCGAAAAAACAGTCCTTAAAATAAAGGTAAGACACTTATAAACAAAATTTTAACACAAAATGAACATTATTACATGTTAACTCACTTGGTATTGTTTGCTTGTATCTTCCCATTGTTGTTTAGAGCTGCAATTGACCAGTCTCTTGTTGACATATGTGCATCCTGTGCGGACTGCTTCGGTATTACCTTAAATCACAAGTCTTATGACCAAAGTTAAAAAACGTGAAATTTATTCCTTTTTATGACTTTCTATTTCCCACTGATTATCCAACTGATAAAGTTTATTGTACGCTCTCTTGTTTATTCATTGTCTATGCATTTAGGTGTTTTTTCCTTCTTTTTCTCTGTTTATCTATTAGCTTATCCCATCAGATAGAAACTTATGATTTAAAATCGCTTAATGTTATTAGTTCATATGACAATAATGATAATTCAGATCATGTAAGTTTATTTTACTTGAGGTTTTGCATAAATAACTCAAATAATCAGATAAGATTTTGTATATTCACTTCCTTTTTACCTTGTTATAGTCGTATGCAGATGGATTAGTGTACATAGCTCACGTTGATTACATTTATGGTTAACAATATCGAAAACTAAACATAGTAAAGATGTTTCGGTGAGGAAAAGATTTTTTTCGCCGGTATCATTCACTACAGCTGTACGATTGCATTTATAGCTGTCATTTTTACTTTTTTTTTCAGTTTTTTCTTGGCATGTGCCTGCTTTTTCTTTATTTTCCTAACCTCTTCAAGTGGATAGTTATTTTCCACATATCTGTTTTATATCTTGGTTGAACACGTGTTTATTCATATTCTTATCTTCTCTATAACCTTCAAGGGTGTAATTCATTTTTCGTTCCTATATATTATTTTATACCTATTGCGTAACTTTAAATTCTGTTTGTCTTTCAGTACCTCTGTTATTGATGTAATAATTCTCTATTTTTATTATTGGCCATCGTATTTAAAAATATAACTATAAATACCATTGTACAGAACTGATAAATGATATTTTCAGAGGGAAATTTTTCTTCTCTGAAATGTCTTCACTTAGTTTAAAAGTTCAATAGGTTTCTTTCGTTGTTTTAAATATCAGAAATTTATGGAATAAATAAATATCTGATGTCAGTTTGTAATGAAATCCCTAACTCGGAATATTATTCTTAGTATTATAAACTACTTATTTTCATTTGCTGCTTTTTGATTGGCTTAATAGGCCAAGAATTTGTTAATGTTGTTTAACGAGTCGCTCAATGATCTTATAGTTGAGTTGTAACGTAATTATTGGCATATCTTTTACCGTTCGAATAATTGAAGACTTATTATCCTCTTTTTGAATTTCATTACTGCTGGTACATTATGGTCTTGTATTATTTACACTAATAGCTTAAATAACCATATAGATAAAAGTTCTGGTGACCATTCACTTGACTTTCAAGTGGTATCATTGAATGTTTGAGTTGCCCAACAAATATGTGGAGAATGCAACAATATGATAAAAATATTAATTACGTTGTAGGTGGGATCGTAGTGTTAACATTGACTCGTCAACTACATATCTATATGTTCATATTGTTCTCTGTTTACTACTGTGCACGTGATTTGATCGTATCTTTCATTTTTCATAAAAAAATAGGTGTGACTTACATCAAAGTTATATTTCATTATATAAAAATGAAATCTCTTTTGTCTTTGTGTGCAGAAACTTGTTTTTCAATCCCTTAGATATACAATTTTACAGTCATATTTGAAACGTTTTTGTGTTGATACCTAAAAGCTTTAAATATTTCTGTACACAAATCCTGAAGTGTTATAAGTACTATATGATTATATTATTAAGCTTGAAAAGGTTTAATTTTTGTACTTTGAAGATAGTTTTTTTGCTTGCATACTGTTTATAAAAGTGGTTTCGGAATATTCCCTTTAGTGTAATAAAAATCTTAATTCTTGTCTTAAGCTAAATTGGAATGAAGTCAACAAAATTCTTGGCCAGTCGAAAATCAATATGTTTTTCTCCAATACTCACTTATCAGCACTTGTTAGTTTGCTTCATGAAAGTTACATTATAGAAACAAAATATCTATTAGAAAAAATCAGTGGAACTGCTCAAAAGCTTTCAGTTGCCGAAGATCTAGTAAGTAACCACTAGTTTTTCAGAATTTGCTTTTTAAGGTATCTGAAATGTCATCTAGATGAGTGTAGGTGTACGAAACTTGACTCAGAAACAGAAGACTTGTTTTGGATTACAGGAATTTACGCAGAATTGTTCGCTATAATTAGAGCACCAAATTAGTAATTTGGGATTAGGCGTAATATTTTAGAAAGTAATGTTAAGTCGATTATCGTGGTTATAAGCCCTTATCAAATTGTAGTTGTTGCATGTTTAATTGTTGTTTCACTGTCAACTAGGATTACTGGTTACCGTATACGTAGTTTAGAAGAAAGCCAAGTCATAAAAGCTCATCCATTTACTTGAACCTCTGTATTGAAAAGTGTTGTTCCTTTCACAATGAAAGTGTTTCAGTGTAAATTTTATCACTAAATGTCTTCAGCACAGTCTACCAAATACATAAAATCTTTTCATGTGCATCCTTTCACTATGTTTCATATGGAAATACAAAGCGTTTAAATGTGTGCTACATGACATTGAATTATTCAGTTATAAAAAAATTTCTGGTTATTTCCCATTCTTCGTAGCACGCAGTAAATGATAAAGCTGATTTTATCTGATTATCAATGTACTTATTTAGTGTACTTTTGTTTTGTTAGTAAAATATACAGAGGTATTTTTGCTGTGAACTAATAGTTCTTTTAAATAATAGTTCGTTTTTCGTCTATATAGGTTAAATTTAATATAGTCTCAGTGGTTATGTCATTCTTCTTTCAACCATTGCGTTAAAGTTATGAAACGTTTCTATCCTAACAAGATTTAAATATCGTGGTAGTATCGTTATCAATTACTTAATAAGAACTTGATTGAATGCTGAAATAATAAAGAATGTATAGCAGTTTTTCTGTGTTGGTTTTATCTATGTTATGATCTGAGAGTTTTTATGTATGTTCTTTAAACTGACGATTTAAGTTAAATATGATTCAAAATTCACACTTATTTATCGTTCGAAATCTGTAGATGATACATTTAGAATGTTGAATGGGATTATATAATAGTGTTCAAAGTCGGAGGTTTCATGCTATCATTAAGATTATAGTCTAACTTCTGTCTAATCTCTAGTATTCATCAGTAGTATATCTTTTATCTTTTTATTTGTTTTTTTTAATGTCAGTATATCAAATCACAAACCAAGAAATGTCTGTTAATATTTCCATGTTACAGCAAGAAATGTATAGATAAAGAAATGTATATGGTAATGAATAGAGTAAAGTAAGTGTAGCCTTAAACTTATCATGATATGGCGAATTATTTATGCCACATCATTTCCATCTGTTTAATATTAACATCTGAACTTTAAATTGTAAAATGATCAAAACCCCATTGTTATAAATCGCTCTTTCTTACGGTAATGACCCAGCTATTCCTATTGCTTAGTATTCTCGGACACCGATTCACTCGACAAGTCCCCAAATCAGAACACGGTTGAACAGGAAAGAGATTATATTCCAAATAGCAAGTCAGAAGCACAATAGGGAAAACGTCAGTATATTTATAGTTTTTACATAAGAAGATTCCAGAGTGTTCTCCAACTATCGGCCAGTGCTGATTGGCTAATTCTTATCCAATCAGCGTGCACCAAAGCAATCATGCATTGAGCATGCTTTAATCTAGTCTATGTCCCGCTAACACCCATACTTATCGTGCTAATTATTAATGTGCCTTAATTTGACCACACATATTGGAAAGTAGAGTCATTTTATTAATTTAGCAGACTAAATTCGAATTTTCACATTTTTCTTTTTCTACTCAATAATCATGCTTGAACTTACTAATCTCATTATTTGTCAGGATATATTTCATTATTATAAACTTGTTTTTTCGTTATCTTATCATTATGCTAATACAATGAATATGTTTATTGTACAATGACATGCGCGAATTATAATATACTGACAAGTTGTCTATCTATTAACTTGAAATCAAGCTCACAATACAATTAGAGTTATTTGTCCTTTGTAATTGCAGTAAAGACTGGATATATAAGGTTTATTACAGCTCCACAACTATCTCCGGTATATTTTATATATATTTTCTCTGAAGAAGTGGCTTACATTAGGTCACAAAACTTCAAAAGTACAATATCTCTACTCATTATGATACAACAAAAAAATTATTATATGTGGTATATTTTAGAAACAAGTGCTTGAGGAATGTTGTAATCACGGTTAGGCACCGGATCATCTACTCTATATCGATTGATAATTCTTTTGGTTTATTAAACTCTTAAAGATGTATTTTAATTATCTGACCATTGTAAATAAAGGAGTCGTTGCTCAATACCGTATGCATTAGACTTCAGTCATTGTCACTTACTCGAATTCTGCTTGATGTACCATTGTTTATGCAACAGATATTAATGGTCATAATTCATCGTGATTATTGAGTTGAGATTGATTTAATAAATTATTTATGATTATTGTGGTTTTGTTGTTATCTGAAAGATCCTGGGTAAAGGAAAGACAGATGAAGTTTTACAGGAGTATCCCCCCGTTTATTGGAGCATGCCAAATGTAGCCACTCCTGGCTTGTTTTATCAATAAAATGTGTAATGGAACAGAATTCGCGATCGAATTTCAACTTCTTTCCTCCATCGAGGCAACAATATTTTTCCAGTTATTGGGTTCACGCCTAGGGGCAAATTATTTCAGGAATTATCGATTGCAACACTTTTTTGGGCTCCGTGGTATCGCTGATGTACGAGGAGGAGATCTGAAAACGTATATCGATCAAGCACAAAAATCGTCTGTATATTCCGTAGATAAACACAACACACTCTACTTTATCTGAACGTGCTTCCCGATACATTAAATATAAATAAAAACACCCCAGTTATTTAAAAATTCATTTTGGACCGGAAGATTCTGTTGTTAACAAGATAACTTAATGGTAGAGGACATTAGGAAAACCTCTGCAAATCCAGATAAGACCCAGCTTTAGAAGTAAGGATTCGGGAAATATATTTTCACGAGAGTCCTAACTAAGCCAACCTAGAAAATGATTTTCCAAAATCATCATTTCGAATTTCATACTAAATCCGCGCAGTCAGATTCAAAGCTCCAGAATTCGTATCCCCAAAGAAAAATATTCAATGGCAATCCAAAAAGTTTTATTAGTATCCCCACGTTTTTCACTTCATCATTATAGGTTAGAGTGGAGGTGATACAGATTTCTCCTGCTTCTCGAATTTCGGCCAAGAGTCATTAGTAGCTATGGTTCAAATTCATCTGAAAATTACTTATATTGCTATTCTGAGTTGTACAACATGAGTTATTCTTTTGCTGTTGTACAATGAGTCAAGTGTTTAATTGGTAGTCAAATTAATCTTTGATTTAAACTTCTTCGTCTTGGTAACTGCGCCAATTAGGGTTCTCGATTCGATAAAAATATGTTAATTATTAATAACTTCCGCTCAGTTGTTACTTCTACTACTTTCTTCTTATTTTATTGATCACATTTACAACTTCACAGGACTACAGTGCTAAAGCAGTAGAGATATTACTCATTACGATTTCTTATAGATATATACTGTAAGCCTTATTTTTGTAAGACGGTTATGTGGTTGTTAGCTTATGGGTGGCACGATATGTTATTTATTGATTCAGTTTACACAGAATTTTATCGTTTGGATTTTTTGTGTAACTGTATACTAGTTTCATATACTTTAGCTATCTTTCTGATTGTTTATGTTTATTGTCATTCTCTTTCTAGAAATAAGGTTTCCGATCTAACACATGAAGTAATAACTCATAACAGACGATGGCGTTGCATTTTAGCGGTTTTACATAACTCATGTACTAGTTTTTCTGGTTCCATAATGTAAATGATATTTCAACCAGTTCTGACTCTTTCAAAACAACCTGCGAATGTGAGGATTCAGAAAATCCTGAACAAGTTCAGTCATTTTTTAAAGATACTTGTGACAGTAAAAATGAATGTCATGAGAAGTTGGATAATTTCGCTACCGAATTTTTCGAAAGTAAGCTAATTTCTTTCCGAAACAATATGGTGTTACTACACAAAATTTAAAACTGTTTACAATATAATTTTCTGCGTCATATAATAACTATCTTAGTCAGTTTCAGTGTAAGTAAACGTTTTTATATGATTTTTATAAACCAACTTTCGTATATCTCGTCTAATTTTTTTGGTTTCTTAAGTATGGATTTGATACTCAGTTTTGGTGCTCTTGTAAAAATAGGTTACGCAACATATTTTCAAGTAATATATATATCGATAGAAATTGTAGTTAAATATTAAAAACAAAACAGAAATTTTAGTATAATATTATTCCGTTCTTTGGATTTTATGTTAGAATAAAGCCAACAATTTGTTATAATATATCTTATTGATCCAAATACTTCATGTTTAATCATTGGAATGCACCTTTCATTTGGATAGTAAGTTTAGTTGAAAGCAAAGTACTAGAATGTTTGTTACTTTACTGACTTGTACTGTTTATTTAATAAATTCTCGCCAAAATTGACCAATGGTTTTGTTTATTGACAATGTGTGGCACATGCTCAATATAGATGGACTTCTGTGTGCTCCATAATCTTAGTTTTCGACCTCTAAATCATTTTCTAAATAATGAATAAGTCAAATTAGTTTGTGATGTACAGTGATGCTTCTGTTGCAGTGCTAGTCACATTGTCTGTTCAGCTGTTTGTTGAGTTGATAAGTTTTTGACTCGACCTCCATTCGACCCAGTTCCTTTGACTATGTAAATTTCTTTAAAAAGAAGACTCTTTCGGATGGATTTGTCCAGAGTTGATTTAATGCTCTTGTATTGATCTGGTAACTTTTGCATTTTCCCTTCTAAAAGCCGTACCCGGTAATGTCCTGAGATCCATTTAGGAGGTGATCGCTTTGTACGGCCAATATAACCTGCCCTACAGGAGCAGATGAATTTAAAAATGCTTTTTGACATGCCCCAATGTGGAAGGTTATCCTTAATGCATCCATGAATGGTAGGCCGGCTTGAGAAAACAATACGGAGTATAGCTGAATAGAACGTTTCATTCAGGGTTTTTGAAATCCGTTTTTTCTAGATTTCAGCAGCTGTATCTTGTTTAAATTATATTTTCATAAAAAGTTTTTTTTTGAGCAGTCGGTGCGTCTTCAGAATGTATAGGTGTTAAGTTCCTATCGACGAATCGAGGTGGATAGCCATTTCTGATGAGTATCTTTCGAAATTGATGTATTTCGTCATCTATTTTGTCATTTGAACATATTCTCCTGATCCTTGAGGATAAAGAGTGAATAAGTTTCTCTCTCTACTCAATGTTCCCTAGCTACGGAAATTCGTATACTTGTTGAAGTGTCCCCTGATACTTTCACATACAAATCTACCAAAGCTGGTATGTTATTGTAATTGATTTCAAGAGTTGTCTAGTAACTAAAATAGCTGTTTGAAACAAACACAAAATTACAGTACGATTTTTGTTACTGTTTCTTTTGTGCGGTTTTCTCTTTCCAGTAATTTTGCAATTTTAGCTGGTTTGTATACATGATTTGGTGTTAGAGAACTCCTAATCGAAAAGAGGTTGTACTTTAAATGACAAGTCTAATCATCCCGCTTAAATTAATAAATAGACAGTATGTATTATTCCAGATGACATGTTTCTGCAAATATAATAAATAACTTAGAATATAGTGATAAATTTAAGCTGTACTTATTTGATTGATAATGGTCGTCTACTAACTAATGAAGGAAGTACGTAAGCAACGAAATAATACATTGCTTTATCACATATAAATAGGCAATTCTTAACTGGTTGTGTGAACTTTTGATATTCGAATACTACCAATCACTGAAAATATTTCTACTTAGTTTTTTAAAGTTCTTTTTTTTAAAGCCCCAAGTTCTTTTGACTAACCGGCGTCATTTATTTGCTTATGGATGAACGCTTTCCTTTAGATAAAAATAAATTCATTCACCTGGTGAGAACGAATCCGTAATTGGGATGTGTAATATTGATGAGGATTTTCCTGGGGATCCCAGGAATATATCGAAAAATGATGTTCCTGATTCTTATGGGTTAGTTATTTCTTATGTTTGTTACTAAATAATACAGCTTGTTGTGGAAAGGTGGAACCTTTGTAAACATTATCTGTTTACTCGATCCACTGTGAAGTAGTATATGTTGTTGCTATTAAAATATAAATTTTAACAACTATTGACTGTCAATCAAATCCACCGATTGAATTAATTAAAATTCTCAATAATTACCTATTTTCACCAAGGTTTGATATTTTTATCCGAAATTATCTTTTTCTGTTCAGTTTTCAGGGATTTTTTGACCATTTCAATATATATATATATATATATATGGTCACTTACAAAATGCGTCAACTCATTTTGTGAAAGTTAAATTTTCTTATATGTAATTGAGCTTTAGTTAAATCGTTTACTAATAACTCATTTCAATGAGTTGCCTGCTCATTTTTGCTTGTACATGTTTCGTAAATACAAGCTTTATCGCTTTCTGTACCTAGTTATAAACCATTCGATATATAAGTGATTATGACGATAAATTGCCAATCAGACTAAAGTATCCAATTAACTCGATGCGTTTATGACTGTGATTACTTCTATGTGTGAAGTACTATATATTTGTTGCTTTCAGTAATGATGGCCTTCATTCCATGCATCCTTACTCGATCGATTACGGGTTCATGTATTCGGTTTTCAGCCACATTTAATATATCATCACTCAGCTTTCTAAATCGAGATAACGTGTCATAACGATCGAACCTGAAAACAAGTAGTTGGATGTCGAATCTTCTAATCACTAAATGCCTCATTCTTACTTATTTTTCATACTTTTAAACTAGAGAGATATACTACACACGTGATAGTTATATTTGTGTTGCTAGGCTTATTTATGGTTACGCTCTCTATTTCAGTGATAATCCACAGATGGTCGATGCAAATAAACAAAACTACTCTAATCTACATTCTACAAAAATTCCTACTTTCATCCATTTTTCACTTTCATCTCAGAAAACATCTAGAAAGTGGAAGTCTGGTTATGTTCAAAAGAAACATATTTTTCAGCATGTAGTAAGTAAATATTGACTAGGAAATCTTGATCTTTCAGTCATTTTCACAAACGTAAACTCCTGACACTACATATTGTACTTACCTCATTTTTCTGATACCTACTTTGAAAGTTAATTAAAGTTAACGTTTGTTAGACATAACCTAATCAAATTCAAACAGCGTATATTCGTGAGTATTTAAAAATTGGCCTTAGACCACATACTTTGAGTTAGACAGAATATAATTTTTAAATGGATCAGTAGTCTTCATTATTACCTCCTGTCTCACAATAATCTATCTTTCAATTTTTATTACGATATCACTTGTCAAGATATGCAAAAACTTGAAATTTACTTTTGCCTCATTCAGAATGCTAGTAAATAATTGAACAAAATAAGTGATGAGAGTTCGCAAACCATTTAGTGTCATCTAGACATGTGCCCGATCTTCTCACTTCGTAAGCATCATTATCAACTTTAGGCTTAGTATTTTAAACAAATCGAGCATTGGATAGAATTTTAGTTACAGAATAATGGAAATTTTGTGTTATACCAATGAGTAAAAATTAGAACTGCCGATGTTTCATAAAGAAATAGCAGACTCCTTATCATGAAATGTCAGAAGTTCTGATTTTACTCATTGGGTTATCACTAATATATCAGTATATTTCGATTTACTTTACCTTCACGCTTTTAACTCTACTGTTTTTTTATTTCGCTAACTTTCTTTTTATAGTATGGAAGCGGGTTATCTGCTCTTCCAACCAAACACCGCTCTGGCAATATTTCTCAAAATGGGAAATTAGGAATACCGTTTGAAGGTTTTACTAACACTACTAACCCTGCCGCTGGAATACGAAAACCCGAGTCAATTAAATTTTAACTTTATTTTTATCCTAGTTTGCTCGTGAACTTCTCGCTTTTGTTCTTCAAGCTATGTAGTTATCTAATAAATAATTTGTCAGGGTGCTTTAACAAGTAACTTATTCAATATAAAGATAGTGTTGTACATTCCAGTTGTAAAAACACAACTCTTACATTCAGACAGTCGAAAACACAAGCATGGTCATTAATCTGTAGTTTCATTGGGTTGGCACAAGAGTGGTATGGCCGTTAACGTGGAGCTTAGAGGAGCAAGTCTTGTCGTTACCAACAGTTATGGTCATGCCTTATTTGGAGTCAGTAGGACACTGCTGGGTCATAAACCCATGGTTGTATCATAGTGTATGTGGCCCTGCCCGTGGGGATTGTATTATTTTAAATTCTTTTAGTTGGATAACAATCAGTACAGTAAGTCGTTTTGTTAGACAGGACAATGCGGTAGTCCAGTTATACATCTTAGACTTACAATTGTCACACTATTATAGTAACAGGTTTATTGAAACACGGTAAAATAAGTTATTCTGAACAACGGACAGGTCGTTTATGAGTGACTCATATGCAATTGTGTAACACGCAAACTCTGTGCCCAATCTGAACAGATGAGAATTATGAGCTAAATACTTCAGAAGATCAAGCCTATGCTGTACAAACAATCTAATACAGTACACGGCAACTTGTCAGACTGCGAAAGGTGTTGATTGCTCGAACCGGAGAATAAATAAATGTGCCCAAGTGTCTGCACATATTACAGCAAACTTCCCAAGCAGACAGTCAACTGTTAGTAAGTGGACTTTATAAAGTTTGATTTCAGTCAAACACGATCCCATTTGCAATGGTCCGGTAATATCTCGAAGCAATATTACGCAAAACAAATGAATCTTTGACCAAAGTCAAATGATAAAGTTTCTGACGAAAAAGACCAACGCTTAATACAATACGGTTACAAGAGATATGAATAAAAGTTGAACACTAGGCTGAGGATAGAATAAAGAGATAACAAGTGCATCCAGCGAAACACTCGTAAGGGGTTTTCGGCGATTTCTTTTGGTTACAGTAAGGATAAAATAACAATACAGACGTTTTCAAACTTGGCTAGAGATGCCTCAGGTATTCGGAGTTTGATAATGCTTTTGCACGTGACGCCATGATCGAAGTATTTCAACACACTCAAATCAGAAATGAAGGTATCCAAAGATACACTTTGGAGCTATCAATATGTCAAGAAGCGTTCGGTCTAAGTAAGGGACTGTGGCACAGAGTAACCACTCGTGATCTGGTGGAGATGTGTGATCGAGGGGCTTCAACTAGGTGTGCTCGATAAACCTAGTAAAGTTGACATCAATGTCGAGGACTTGGAATTATATGTTTGTAATTTACTTGTGACCAGAGTCATAACATTTCATCTCGTTTGTAATCATCTAGACCCACAAACGTTTCTACCTCTCTTTATTGCTCTAATAAATAAAAGAATACCTTTATTATTGGTTTCAGGCTCGAACGTTTATAGAAGTATTAAGATTACTTGAACTTTCGGGTTGCTAATTTCAGTGTTCATATGATCTCGTCACATGTCTGATTCTAATTTTCCATCAAATGAAATATTCTTCGTGACATTAACTATAAGATTTTCCGTGAATTAAATATGATTTACTGAGTCTGAATTTTAGAATCATTTTTAAGATAATTTACGTTGATACACGTATGTTGTTTGCATACAAATGTATTAAGGTTTTTTGTGTCTATTGAAGTCGGATTTTTATTGTTGTTATTCACAATTGTGTAGTGATTTATTTTTATCAACAGAACGCGATTGGTGCGATTGAAACAATTACTATTATAGCCGATTGTACCAGGGATCGTTTAACTGTACTAAGAACATATATTCTTCCATTGATTATCACCTTGCACGAATTCGGTTACCCTCAGTAACCACACTTATACTCATTTGGAACGTTCTCGGTATTCCTTCAGTGCCACGAGGTCGCCAATAAATACATCTCGACTACAGCCATCAACTGCCTTCTGATATTTGGCCTACGGGGGATCTTATCGGCTAACTGGCACGTTGTTTTTCTGTAGTGGTGATCATAGTCAACCACGACTCGACGCCACACTACAGTTGTATACAAACCTCTGTATTTTGTTTGTTCAATTTCCATCACATCTCAAGCTTTAAAACACATTTTTCTGGAGAACAGTTTTTGTTAGTGTTCTTCCTGTGAGATCACAAATCTATTTATAGCTCAAGTGAAACATCGTTGTGGGAGACCTGCGTGCCATTTCTCTGTCAGAGATGAAATGCAATCTGACAACTGTAATAAGTGGTATCATAATTTATGCATCACTACCACACTGACTGCATGAAGGTTTTGCAAACCACTATCACATTGGCTGTGTAAACATGCTGCTCTACAAACTGTCTAGTTATTCCTGAGGAGATTGAGCTGTTGAATATAGCTAGAAAACTGCTCTCAGCCAAACAGGCTGCAATACATTAGCAAATTTTTTTGAAGAAATATAGAGTGTTATCAGGAACCTAGCTTCGGATTTGAATGAGGCCATCAGAGTGGGCTCCATTAGAGAACCGAGAAACAATCACACAGTAATAGGTATTGTTTCAAGACAAAACAAAAGGCACATTGAGAAGAAATAAATTATAGGCAGCACTGAGCTGTTTGTATCCTGTTCAGGATGGATATTTCGACACAAAACAGTCTGCGATGGAGCAGAGTAGTGAAGATGATGTGATCAAGAGAAATAATAACACACATAAAAAAATTAAGTAAATGGAGTGCGAAATCTGCGTCCGACATGAAATCGGAATGCAGGGAGTAGAAGATTTCACGAATGAAAATTATAAAACGCGTCGAGACAGACCTTGCTAGATATGTCATTCATTTTTGATAAGTTAATAGAATCTTCCGAAAAAGAGCCAAAATCTAGATTTGAACATAATCTCAGCCACATTAAATCATTACTAATCTATCTACCCAGAGAAACAGTTTCCAGATTTAGCATTTCCAAACTTTACACGACAGGATAAAAATGGATCCCGAAATTACTCACAAAAGCCACTCCTTAAAGATTACCTTTGCTTCAGCTAAAGAAAAAAGCCTGATTTTGGGAAACTCACACAAACTGATTTGATCCGATATATATGTACCTGAGTATCTCAGCACGGTTGGTTGTATTTAGAGACATTCAGCAGTAGTAGTAGCAAATAGGCGCCGCCTAAACGGTGAGAAATCTCGTATTTAGAATGTTCGGACTGTAAAAGTTCAGAGCAAAACGATCCTCAAACCACTCAGTTGGTAACAGAAGGCTCTTCGCAGAATTAAAGATTTGCTGTAAAAATGTTCACACCAACAAAATAAAACTGCATAGCTCAGGAAAATGGATGACATAGAAAACTACTATGTTCTTAACATTTCAGAAGTATGGTTAACTTCAGATGAGTAGTGTAGTGAAATTTAGTTAGTTGGGCTGATATACTAAACCGTTGTTGTGTTGGGGTTATCTTGTACACAAAAAATACCTTAACCATATGAGTCGTCAAGACAGTGGCACATGATTCAGGAACATGGAAACTGGTGGATGTAAGGCCAGAATGTAAACTGCAAGATCTTGAATTAGTTGTAGTATACCACAGACCAGAATGTGTAGTAGGTGAATTCCCTCTACGAATACGTAAGTTCTCTCGAAATAGAAGTAAACTCCTAATAGTAAAAGACTTAGATAAATCGGGGAAACTTAGAAGTGGGGTCATTAATGACACCATTTGATTGCAAATTGTGATAAACCAAAACTCAACTAGCTTTATTCCAGTATATTAGTTATGTTAACAGACATGAATTACGAAGCCCCTCGTCGCTCTTGGATCTAACAATCACATGGTGATTCCAGTCAAGTACCTTTACTCCGCTCTCTAGAGACAAATGATTATGCAAATTCGTGGGTAAGATGAACTGTGAAATAGTCGCGACAACTAGTCCTAATACATAGAAGGCAGAGATGAAGGTAATCAACTTTGTTGCATAGGCTCAAAACAGGATAATTGACTCAGGAGCATTAGTATAAAAGGTATCCGTGGAATTCGAAAACTTCTGTTCACCATACACAAGGAGGCTTGAAAATTTGAACTTTACCACTCTGTCTTATCGCAGATTAAGGTGACCTGATTTTGATGCGAAGAATACTAAGATTCTGAACTTAATGTAGAAGCGTTGTCAAACACTGAATACCTGTGACATCATCATTGGTGAGACCGTCGTGATCTGGTACACCTTATTGCAACTGTGAGTCTGTTCCTTTTTGGGATTTTTATATATCATTGCCTTATTTTTTATTTTTTTTTAAACATTGTGATTTTTTTTCGTGTTTTTTCTTGGATATATATATTTTTTCCCCTCGTTCATTATCGTACTTCATATTTCATCATGACTGAACAGACACCTAAAGTACTCAAGCTTAAGACCTTGTCCCCACCTTCGTTTCAACTGATGCCTTTCTGGCCCGACAACATCGAAGCCTGGTTTTGCTACGCAGAAGCCGACTTCTCCGAGCACGGCGTGATCGACACACGTGCACAATTCCTCGCAGTAGTCAAGGCACTACCGCGCGAATTCAACAGGTACGTAACACCTAGTATGTTTACTAGTGATGTTTCCGATCCTTACGAAATCTTAAAACGCTCGATTCTTAAACGAGGAGACCTAACCGATCGACAAAGGTTAGATCAACTCTTCAATAACATCGACCTGCAACACGGTTCTGCGACAGACATGTTGCAACGGATGAGAGAGGTTATAGGCCCAAGAACTTTCGACGAAGGTCTATTCAAACAACTCTTCTTGTCAAAACTTCCCCAACAGGTGCAAGCAGTTCTGGTCTCGTTCCAGAACAACGCCTTAGACGAACTAGCTGCATCTGCCGACCGCATTCTAGAAATTACGAAACCTACTACCGAGGTATTTTCAGTCAAAGAAAAGCCTCACACGACTC